TCTCTCTCTCTCTCTCTCTCTCTCTCTCTCTCTCTCTCTCTCTCTCTCTCTCTTAGCTCCCATGATGCGGGTAGTCTGTCGCCTTGCACCTACCAACAATCCAAAGTTGTCATCCCACTTAGTCCGAGAATGCAAGCCAGGTTCGCCCGTGTGCCACATTCCTTCGCAACCACACATCAACCCCACATACCCAGGACCAACTTGTCGGATCGCCCAACTCCCTAGTCACCGTTCTGTCTCTGCTCGTTAGCCGATCCTCTTGAGATCGCAACCTCCCAAGTGTAGATTAGAGAGGGAATTAGTCGCTCTTACAAGATTTACTAGCATTCGGTACTTGCGCGAGATAATTCAAGATTACGCTGAAGCAAGATAAGAAAGAGAAGAAGTAAGTGCCTACAACTGCATGATCGGGCCGCGGTGTGGGGGACGTAGCCACTCTCCATGTATCGATCCATTCATGCATTTTTTTCGTCAATGAGACAGACAAAAAATGGTCGCAGGTTTTAACGTGGATAGAAATCAAGAAGGAGAAGATTAGAGTTATACCCGCGCTTACCAAGAAGGAGGAAAAAAAGTTTACAGTTGCGATTAAAAATTAGGAGCGGCAGAAGCAGAGCGTAGGACAGGACGTTGCAATGCGCACACGAATAGGGAGCATCGGACAGTTACAGCAGTAAAAATCCACGACAAAATCATGATGCCCTCAATTCCTAACTCAATTAAAGTCCAAATTTCCATATTCCCCCATATTTCAATATTCAAAAAAATTCCTCCCGCGCGATGATCACGCCAAAATTCCCTTCCCCACTATTAGCAGAACAAGAAAGAAGCTATGACAATAATTATTTCCACGCTCGCTAAGGCGCGATCAATTACCAACTGCCATGGGACCAAGCCTTTTAAAAAAAAAAAGAGACAGGGACATTTATGCAATTGGGCGGTCCTCTTCTGATCAACCCCGGAGATAGCGTCGCGCCGAAAGGTGAGCAATTCCAAGTTACCCGATCGGACGTCCGGACCCTCCCTAACCATCCGGGGTTGTCCGATCGGACAACCAGTCGGTCGTTCGCCCGGGGCCCTGTGTCGGATCGGCGGGGAAATTGGGGGGGGTGCTTCCACGGGGAATCCGAGGCTGTGAGGTCGAGAAGCGGGCAGGGGCGAAGCGGGGGGGCCGAAGGGAGAAATTTTCCAAGGCCGGTAGGGCCTCGAAAATCGAAAACGAAAATGGCCAGATCTGGGTCGTCAGATCTTTGAGATCAACGGCGCAGATAGGGCCAATTTCAAATTCGAATTCCCAGGTGTCGTGACCCTCTCTCGCGCGCGACTTCGCCCAACCCTGTCGGTGGAGTTCGACGTTGCAGGTACTGAACTCCGACGCCCAACGACCGCTACCCACGGGCCATCGCCCGACCGCCCCAGGTGAGTTTGATTCCCTTCGTGCATGCCATCTCCTTCTCCTCCACCTCCTCTTCCTCCTTTACCTTTAGCCTCTCCTCTTATTCTCCTCGTCCTCCATCTCCTCCACTTCTTTTTCCACCTCCTCCTCCTTATCTTCTTCCTCCTCCTCCTCGTCCTCCTCCTCCTCCTCTTCTTCCTCCTCCTCCCCTTCCTCCTCCTCCTCCTCCTCCTCCTTCTCCTTTTCTTCTTCTTCCTCTTCTCCATCCTCTTTCTCCTCCTCCTCCTCCTCTTCCTTCTCCTCCTCCTCGTCATCCTCGTCGTCGTCATCCTTCTTCTCGTTGTTCTCCTCCTCCTCCTCCTCCTCCTCCTCCTCCTCCTCCTCCCCCCTTCCCCCCTTCCCCCCCCCTCGTCTTCTTCTGCGTCAACGTCCTCCTCGTAGTCGTCGTCGACCTCCCCTCCCCTCCGGTCGCTCGCTTCCCTTGTGGCAGTCAGGCGCTCATAGCGACATTGCTTTTTGATCCCTCGACGTCACTCTTCCTATCACTGTCGAGCAGACTCCACCAAAGTGTTACCTGGTCTCAAGCTAGGTCCATGTACAGCCAGGGGGTCCAGCGTTTTACAAACGCCAGACCCTCAGGAACAACAAATTTTGACAAGTTTTGGGCCAAAAAACTCGGTTTCAATTTCGTTCAAAAAATAAAAGATGTCAATTTTGACGAAATGACAGTTGATGGGTGGGTGGATAGATGGATGGATGGATGGATGGATGAATGGATGGATGGATGGGTGGATGCGTGGATGGGTGGGTGGATGGGTGGATGGGTGTATGGGTGGATTGGTGGGTGGATGGGTGGATGGGTGGATGGGTGGATGGGTGGATAGATGGGTGGATAGATGGGTGGATAGATGGGTGAATGGATGGATGGGCGGATGGATGGGTGGATGGATGGGTGGATGGCTGGATGGCTGGGTAGATGATGGATGGATGGATGGATGGATGGATGGATGGGTG